CATTTTGTTAATTGATGTCATATCTGACGCTATATGACAGGACGGTATCGCTTTTTATGCTGTGCATATATATCGTGTAATAATGCACTTTATTTCCCCTTTCTGTCCGAAAGGGGAAAGTGCGAAGGGTGTAATAAATTGTAATAGAGAATTAAGTTAATGTGTAGAGTGACAGTATTGCACATTCTTGCCTAGAACATCACACGAAAAAACGGGAATAGCAAAATAACAATATAATTGTGTAGAATGACAGTTTGACATAACAATTGTGTGCAGAATAACTTAAACTTGTGTGAAATTGTCATTTTCCATGGTACATATTTGTTTTGGAGAACTAATTGTGTGATTATTAACTAAATCTTATGAAACATTTACTGTCATTATCATTTTACTATAAACATGTATTAGAGTGCATTGTTGTTTAAGTTATCTTATTATCGTATTTAAATCATGCCTGTGACCTTATGAAATCCTTTGAATATGATTTACTTTAAAAAGTGTCATCTATTTTTGCACAATTTTCATGTGTTTTTTCTTCTTCATATTATATGTCATATTTATGAAGATGAATGGCTGAATCTCCACTTTATCAAAGCTAAATTTTATTTTAAACTATTTAGATTAATTCAATTTGCATTAAGATTGATGGTATGCAATTTGAATTTAATTGTCTCAATTTTTTCCCTTTTTAAATGATCCCCCATTTTATTAAAGTTTGGGCCTAACCCCTTTTAAAAATTTTTGGAGACTTCCAGACTGGGGAAAGAAGGGTTGGTTTAAAATTCAACCATTGCTACCCCACCGCTTGGATTCGAAATTTTTAAACAAAAAAGGGAAAAAAATTGGAATTTTTCCGTGTGAGGAAGCAAACCCCAGCTCCCTTAAAAAAAACTTAAAAGTGGTTCCCAACCAAAAAAGGTTTTTGCCCGTTTTTTGTGCCTTGGGAAAAATAATCCCTTTTTTGGGGAAGAGAAAACAAAAACCTTGAATCTTCCTCCCCCAAGAAAAACTGGAAATTTTGCCATTTTGACCCTCCCTGTGTCGGTGTGACAAAAAAAACAAACAAAAAAAAAATTAAAAAAACAATTTTTTAAAAAATTTTTTAAAATGGATCTTTTTAAATTTTCCTTTTTTAAGTTTTGGGTTAAAAACAAATTGCCATTTAAAATAGGGGAAAAAAAACAAGGGTTTTGGCCCTTTTAAAAAAAATATTTCCCACTTTTTTTTTATGTTTTTTAAATTTTTAAACCCAAATTTACTAAAAGATAGTTCCAAATTTAAACCCTTTTACCCAATTAAAAAAGTGGTTTTAAAACCCATTTTTTGTTTTTAAAAACCACCCGGTTTTAAATTTAAAAACGAATTTTTGGGAGAGCCCCCGGGGTTTTTGGGGGCATCCCAATTGTGGTAAACCCTGAACATTTTTGGCTAATTTATGGGCCACCCCCTTTAAACCCAAAAAAACAAAAAAACCCCGGGGGAATTTTGGTTTGTTTTAATTTAAAACCCCTTTTGTGGGGGTTTTTGGAAATGGGCGTTTTGGGGTACTTTTTTTAGTAAAATAAAAGCAGTTAAAACAAAAAGCAGTGAAAAACTAAATTTTATGAAAGTGGAAGAATTAAGTACCGTGGCACATACAAGAACTGTCCGAATACAATTTTCACTACTGATGGTCAGGTTTTTATTTATTAGTTACTAATTATTCAATAGGAATATGGAATTGTTCAGGTAGCTATTATCTTTTTACAATGTTTTTACTATTTTTTTATGTAAAATAGGACTTGTGCAGTCATTTTTCTTATTTCCTAACTAAAATTATTCAAAAATCTTGTTACAATGTTAAACTATTCTCTCATTCTTTACAATTGTTATTTTATTTTTGTCACATGAAATGTTGATGATTTTTTCTTTAAATACTCATTAAATGTATATGATTTTATTATATTGTATTAAATTGTTGTGGTGAGTCACGATGGATTTTTTTGTCTATGAATACAGTTCTGTATTACTGTTGAGAGAAGATAAGTTGAGTGGTGTTGCTGTAGAGAATATAAGTTGAGAGGTGTTGCTGTAGAGAAGATAAATTAAAAAGGTTTGCAAACTGTGGGGAGAATACTATTTCAGAGAAAAAAAATTAAAATTAAAAGGGGAATGTTTTTGTAAGAAATTAAACATTAAGAATTTTTGGGCTTAAGAAAATAAGTTAAAGGAGTGTTGGCTTTAAAAATATAAAGTTCAAGGGGGTTGGCCGGTGGGAAGAATATCTATTGAAAAAAGGTTGTTTGTTTTTAAAGAGAAAAATAAAGTTGAGAGGGGTTTACGGGAACAGAACAATAAAGTTGGGGAAAGGTTTTGTTTTGCTGAAAGAAGAATTTAAATAAAGACGGGTTCCCCCTGTAGAAAAAGATAAAAAAAAAAAAGGTTGCTGTAGAAAAAAAAAAGTTGGGGAGGTGTTGGTGTGGGAGAAGAAAAAAATTGGGAAATTTTGCTAAAAAGAGAAATATTATTGGGGGTTGGTTTCCCCCCTTGAAAAAGAATTTTTAAATTTTTGAAGGTGCTTTGGGTTTTGTAGAAAAAATAAAAAATTTGGGGGGAAAGATTTTGTTTGGCCTTTTTTTTAAAGGAAAAATTTATGAGTTCAAAAGGGTTTTGGGCTGTAAAGAAAGAAAATTTAAAAAATTTTGGGGGAAAAAGGTTTGTTAAAAAAAACTTTTTAAGAAATAAAAGGGTTGAATGTGTTGCTGTAGAGTTTAAAAAATTTAATAAGTTAAAAAAAAGAAATGTTGGGCGAAGGGGAAGAATAAATAAATGATTATTGTTAGAGACAAAATAAATTACAAAAAGGTTTTGGGCAAAAAGAAAAGATAAATAAAAAAAAGGGGGTTGGTGAAAAAAGAAGAAAAAATAGATAAGCGGTGTTGGGGCCTTTGGTAAAAAAACAAAAAAAGGGCAAAAAAATAAAAAAGAGGGTGGGTTGGGGGGAAAAATTGAAATAAAAAAGTTGGGGGGAGGGGGTTCGGGAGGGGAAGTTTTAAATAAAGAAGTTTTTGGGCTGGTAGAAGAAAAGAATAAAAATAAAGAGGTGTTTTCTGGTTAAAAAAGGTTAAATGGGGAAGGAAGGTTTTTGTTTTTTTTTAACAGAAAATTTTAAATTTTGGAGAGGTTTCCCGGGGTAGAATAAAAAATAAAAGCTGAGAGGGGGTATTTATAAAAGCAAAGTCAATTGAAGGGGTTGTTGCGGGAAAAAAAAAGGTTTTTAAAATTTGGGAAAAAGGTTTTCAAAGAAAAAAGAAAATAAGGTTGAAAAAAGGGGTGTTGTTTAGAGAAAATAAGTTTTGGGGTTAGGGGGGTTTTGCTGAAAGAGAAAAATAGGTTTGAAAATGTGTTGCGGTAGGGGAAGAAAAATTGAGAGGGGGGTTGAAAAGAAGAAAAATAAATTGGGAAAGGGGGTGTTGCTGGTAAAAAGAAAAAATTGCAAAAAAATGTGAAATAATAAAAAAAGGGAAAACCATTTGGGGGAACCAAATTCAGCAAACCAAACAAAATCCCAACAATTAAATTGTAAAATGCACTTTCTTTTAATTTCCAACCCAAAAAGGTACCAATTTTTTAATATTTTTTTTCCACAAAGACAAGGGGATTTTTATCAAGAAAGATGAATGTTTTGTGAAATCTTAATTTGGTGACCCATTTTTCCCAAAGACCAAAAGGGGGCAGTTTTTTCCTTTTTCCTTTGGGGCCCAAAATTTAAATCCCAGGGCCTTGAAAACCTTTTTAAAATTATTTTCAATCGGGGTACTTTATTAGGAAATTTTTTCCCAAAAAAGATTAAAAAAAATTTTTGGTTTTCTTTTGTAAGAAAATAAAATTAAAATTTGGAAACCCTTAATTTGAATCAGAAAAGACCCAAAGATGAGGGGGCCAAAACCATAATTTTCCCCACAATTTCAGGGGTTCGGCCCCTCCCCTTTTTAAAAAAAATTTTAATGAATGGTTTTTGGGGCCCCTTTGGGGGTTTCAGTTTCAAAAAAAAAAAAAATTAACGTTTCCTTTTTAAGAAAATTTAGCATGTAATATTTAAAGTGAAAAAAGGGAAAAGATGCACAGTTTGGAAATTGAGAGCAAAAACCCCAATTTTTTTCCTCTGCATATAAAATTTTTTTGCTGAGAAAAAATTTAATTGAGTGGTGTTTGCTGCAGAAAATGAAAAAATTAATGTAAAATTTAAAATTTTGTGCCCACCGCCCCCCAAGATAAAGGCCCCCATTTTAAAGGCCATTTTAAAGAAAAGGGAAAGCACTGTTCTCTATTCAGCCAGTATCATTTTAATATTTTCCCTAAAATACAATGGATGGCTTTTATCAAGAAGATGAAATGAATGTGAAATCTTAATTTGTGACCATTCCATCACAAATATCCTGAATATTTGTATGAAAGTTTGTTTTGATGATTTCTAGCTCAGCTTTGAACATGGGTTAGTCATCGTCAAGACCTAGTTTACAGAGACCAAAAATAAAACTCCAGAGGTTACATTTTAGCCCAAATATCATGGACATTGGTCAAAAAGTTTGTTTGAATGATTTCCAGTTCAGGTTTTAATAAGGGTCATCTGAGGTTAAAAAGAAGGTCACAGCACATAAAAAGGGCATATAATTATGAGAGAAACCTTATTTACATTTGTACTATTTCACATATGAATGATATGATATCAGTTTAAGTTTATGGCATTATAGCTGCCTTTCATTCAATGCTGACAGACCCAGACAGGCTTGGAAAAAACTTTATATCATAAAATAAGGTTTCAAATATATTTGAAATATATTCAAATAATATGGTTTTCTTCACGTGAGGCTCCTAACTCTGAAATGTAAAGTCAATACAAAGTCAATGAAGTTAAAATCATTCTTTCAATTTAACATGTTTAACGGTATTTCAAGATACATGTATTATGTGATAAAAAGTGTAATGGCAGGCCCTTATTTTGTCATTTTAATCTGATTGATATCATTGAAAACTAAAGTCTTCATACTTACTTCTCTTGATCACTTTTTATTGGCTATTCATAAAGCCAGAAAGGAGCTTACAAATATGGATGCTTGCTGCATTGTTTTTTGCCCTTTGTTGAAGAGAAAGCATGTAGCATTTTAATGCTACTTGAGGCCTGTTTTCTTGTTCCATACATTGTCCTAAAATGTTAAGAGCTGTTTCTCTATGTCTAAGATTTTCACCTGTTTCTATGGTTCTTGTAAGTTTAGAAAGTGCTTGTTGTTGATCTTGATGCCTTTGTAGATGGCGGTAGATTTTGTATTGTAGGAAGTACAGGAGAGGTAGAGAATCAACTACAGCCCAGTCCATCCAAAAGCCTTCATTATTATCTCTGTGTATCATGTCATCTTGTGTAGATCTGAACATTTCATATTGTAGTTCATGAGGAACACAGTTGATCTCTTCCTGTATAAATCTGACACAAAGTGCTATAATATGTTTGATACAGTCCTCACTTTGTTCATTACATAACCTCTTGAATTCTGCTGATACTGCTGGGAACCAAATATTGCAGCAACAGAAAGGTAAAACAGGATAAGAATTATATTGTTGTTCAGTGTGCCTCAGAATTAGTTCTGCTTTCTCCATATCTCCTGTACTGTAAAACACTGAAGCCAATTTAAGTCTGCTAGATGAGATATCTGAGTTTAAACCAGCTGATAACCAGACCAATGCTTGAGGTGACACTTGATTATTTTCACCAATGCTGGATGATGCTAGGATAGATCCATATGTGGTAAAAAGAAAAGGTGCTAGAAGCTTGAATGCAGCATGTTCTAATCTATTACCATTGTCACTGAAGGTCATTAGTTTACCTACAGATTGATTTATTGTTCTAATGTTTTTATTGTGTAAATGGTTTAAAACATACTTATGCTCTTCACTTATGACTTTTGCAATGTTTATATTTCCAATCATCAAAACATGTTCATATATTTCAAGGGAAGAAGGAAAATAGTAAACTCCATGTGGTACCCTGTTCAGTTTAACTTGAAGTCTATGGCCAAGATCATCAATATCAATACTTAGTAACCATTGCCTATCATTCTGTATAAGTTCACAAATATTTTTTGAAAGTTCATGTTTTGTCTCAGCTGTGAATTTCCCTGCCATCAAATTATTTTCCGTTACAATAAAATGTGAACAACAGTCATTCTGTACACAATTGTGTAATTCCAATAAGCAGTATGTTAAACATGTAAATAAATTGTTATCTTTCCATATTCCTGACTCTGTGTTTTCTATACAATGGAATAGAACTGTTTTACACATGAAACTTGAAATGTTTATTTCATCTTGAGAATTAAGGAAGGACTTAAGAATCATTTTCAATAGTACATAGCACCTTATTTGTGTTATATTTAGATTTAAGATAAAACATCGTTCCGCCAATGATGTAGATATTCTCCATTCCAATCCAGGATATTCGCTGACCTTACTTCCAGTTGGAACAACAAAACACCCAGTACTGGTTGCATATCTTCTCATCTCTTGTGTTGGCCAACTGCCAATACCCTGTCTTTCTAACCAACCTGATGCTGATTGAGGCCATGATTTAAATGGAATAGCTATCAATTTGTCTAAATCATAAAATCCAGGGTTTTGCTCAGCAATAGATGGTCCATGTTGCTGATGAGCACCCTGAAGAAAATCATATATCCCTGTGCTTTTAAACAATATTCTTCCTCTACTATCACTAATATGATGTTCATTAGGAATGACAGTTGCAGGAAGAGGTTCATCATCTTTGAGAAGTTGTAAGAAACAATACCCGGGAGTAGTGTTCTCATCCTGTATCATGAGGTAGTTGAACTTCATGTTCACGTCATGTTCCCATTCTGACCAGTCTTGTATAATATTGAAATCATGTGAACAGCTTAGTATATCAAGATCTGAGTGAAGTCCTATAGTAGTTGTACCTTCACTTTGACTCCCTAGGAAATAGTAAGTTGTATTTAGATCAGTTAATCTGCACTCGATATTAGCCATATTCTCTATCAGCATGAATTGTCTTCTCCTTCTCATAACAATTCTTTCATTGACACCAATGTCATGTAAAACCTCTGATAACATCAATGATAAGTTTTCTCTGTAGTTAGGTTCTTGAAACATTCTGTAATATATTAGTAAAAGAGAAAATTGTTTCAGTCAGCAGTCAAATTAATTTTATATCACATAGATCTTCTTCTACTTGTAACTTATTTGTCCTTAATGTCCTAGAACAGAACAGACAGGAGAGCCAATCTGGACATTATAAAACATAAGATAAATAATAAGATAAATAAGTTTGGGTAGATATCAATTGATCAAAATAGTGCATTTTTTCTCTATTTAATTATGGTATTTTTCTTGTCTATCATGTAAATTTGAACATCTGTTTTCGGAATTTTGATATAAGAGAGACACTAAAATTTAACACTCATTCAATTATTCCTGTTACACTTTCTTACATAATTCATCCAATATAGATGAGAAATTTTGTATATAAAATAAAGTTTTAAACTTACTAAAAAATAATCAAGAGAAAATATTTCTTTTCATTTGACTAAAGATAATTATGTGGAACTTTAGATTTATATAACACCACAATATATTGTAAAAAGACATTAAATTGTAAAACATAATTATGTATATTTCTATTCTATTAAAATACATAATTCATTTTAACAAATATTTTCTTTTTTGAGATTGATAAAAGAGAGACAAAAAATTTATAAACACTGTCTGAAGTATGGCCTGAACTACTTTCTTACATATAATATGTTGTCTATAAATGAGAAATTATGTATTTAAAATTAGTATTAAACTTACTTTGAATGTTGTTTTTACAGTATTTCGTAGAAATAATGTAGAAAAATTAACAATAATCTTGAAAAATATTAACAACAGATACATAGTTTTATACACTTTAAATTCCTGGAAAACTTTTTGAAACAGAAATATATTCAATTTACTGATAAATGAGAACTTCAATAACTTGAATAAGATTTTTATAACATTCCCCTGTTACTTGTTATCATACGGACAATAAATATAATTAAACTTGTTTCAGATAATTTTTCTGAATATGTCTATCCACAAGTTGAAAGGTTATTTTTTTAGTTTTGAACATGTTTCCATTCGAGTGTATATTAATGTCGTCGATTTGCAGTGGTAGTACATAAAATATATGATAAATACTGAAATGTTTTTAAAAACACCCAAATGACAGTTAAACCAAATTCAAGGGATTGCAAGTTCAGCATAGTAAGAATACTGTTTAACCCTTTCCTTCATTAGCATTTTGTGAAAAATGGCCGTTTTGATTGAAAAGCCTCCTGTTACAGGTTCAAACTGCTATGAAACTATGAAAAAATGCTTAAGTACTGATGAAATATGATAATATAATTTAGTCGATTGTCATGGTTCAATACTTATTGAAACTCTAATTTAATAAAACACAAATCATAAATATATGAACTCTAAAAATGTACACTTATCTTCTATATATTTACATATGACCATTCAGCTAGTCTGTTGAGTATGTTGAATATTGTGTAGTTTTATAGTTATGCAACATAGATTTGACTATTGTTAATTTTGACATCGTGAATATGCAAAAATGTATTCAAATGAAATGTATTGTTTGTTGCAGTTCTATTAGTGTTCATTACAGTCAGACCTTGCCTTAATAGGCCACATATTAAATTATGCTACTCTACTTTTGCTAAGCACCATAATTATGTTTGAGTGTGAATATTTTTTGGGGTAATTTTATTAACGCCGTGCAAAAGGTTTCAATTTTGATGTACTGTTTAATCAGTTCAACTGAGAGACTAATTTAACCCTATAAATGAGTTTTACACTGATTTTGTGTGCTAAATAAAAGGATGACACCCCCCCCCCCTCCTTAAAGATTTCAGAACATGCAGCGTATTAAATATTATTTTAAACTCATTTAAAGCTTTTGGGTAATTTTGTTAAATAAGCTTGGATAATACGATGCATATAATTTACTGATCTCTGTGTAATTTTGCATGCCTGAAATTCTGTTAACTCATACATTATATATTTTGCTTTGATTATCACTGATATAACAATTTTATAATATCTCAAAAGTAGTTGATCGGCATTAACAGGTTCGACTATCTTGTATTTGGAAGGTTTATTTTTTGTACTCAAGTTTTAGTGTTCTTAAGATTTTTACTTTGCCTTTTTAAATGACATGGTGATTTTTTGTGATCGCTTTTCGTCCGGCGTCCGTCCGTCTATCGTCCGTCCGCAAACTTTTACTTTAAACGACGGCAATTGTCAAGAAAATTTTGGACTTGTGAGAGGCTAAAAATGACCCCAGGTCGATCATTAGGTAACTTTTAACCAACGCTGAAAAGCCTTTGACTTTATCTCAATCCTTTGAGAAGTTGCAGCACTTTGAAATAAATTTTGATGGAAAAAATCGAGGCAAAATAGTTATTTTTGGCAATTTTGAGATGTCCCCTCGTTGCCATGGTAACGGGAAATTTAAGACTGAGCATGTCGTTACAAAGGCAATGGTCCAGTCAACATTTGTGCCAAGTTTAGTATTGAAGCATTTTTCATAGTTTCATAGCAGTTTGAACTTGTAACAGGAGGCTTTTCAGTGAAAACGGCCATTTTTCACAATATGCTCATGTGGGAAAGGATTAAATACTTCATTACATTACAATATATAAAAAATACCGCGTTACATAACACGTGAAGGTATTTTAAAATCTCCTTTCAGAAATGTACTCCTATGATTAAATAAAAAATCGTTGCGTATAACATAGATTTATCATTATGTGGAGTTAAATATACATTTAAGGATGCATTTAAGATATGTTGTGATAAAATTAATTCATTAACAGATATACGACTTAAACAATTATGTAACTGCGCATTGAACGTGCTTGATGACTCATAGCAATGTTTTGCTGACCATATCAACAACTTAAACAAGGCTCTGGCGATTCTTTTAAAAATAAATGCATATCATTGAGATGGAATTGTACACATGTCTTTTTCTGCCTTTTCGGCACGGCCAAGTAATTTTCTGCAGCAATAAATTGATTAATATGCCATGAGAACTTTGCATGTCTTTCAACGATCATTGAGAAAGTACACCAATTTGTTGCTTATGAGAACAAAAATCAAATATCCAAGGCGACTTTGGTAGAACGCATCTGCCCATACAATCCAGCCACACCAGTAGGGCACCCAGAAGGTACCCAACCAAAACCAGAAGAGGACACAGAAGGGCCGATACGGGAAATAAAGGGGAAAAATACTGCGGGCGACCTGCTTTCCGAATAAAAAGCATGGTGTCAATGCTCGGAGAATATTTCGATCAAGAATGCGTCCTGAACCAGGTACATAAAGCTTTTCGTAACTTTCCTCCGTTGAATCTGTACAAGATTTATATAGATCACTTTAAAGATATTAATTTATACTGTATGTGTTATGATTTTTTTATGTATAATGATAAAGTCTAAAGAGCCAGTAGGCCTATACGAATGTATGTGCCCCGACCAAACAATCCCCTCTGTTTTTATCACTTTTTAGAACTTTTAGCGCATGTATTTTTTCAGAATACAGGATTGATTTGTACGCACGGGCGTACAGGAGTACCCCTAGTTACGCCCCTGTATGTCAAGTAATTGCGCATATAACACTGGTTTTCGGCTTGAATGATTTTTGCCCAGTTATGGCCCTTGAATGAAAAGGTGTTAATTAAGTTTGTCCGGACTACTCCTTTTATACCACTAATAGAATTTGAATGAAACTTTACAGGATTGATTGGTAGGTCAAGTACTTGTGCATCATACACAAGTTTTTCGCTTGAATGATTTTTGGCCGTGTTATTTCCCTTGAATAAAAAAGGTTGCCAGCTACACAGAAGTTTGTCTGGACTACACTTCAGAAACTTCTGGTGCAATATCATCAAAACTTAAGGGGAATGATCAATACCACGTCTAGTTGTAAATCTCATCTACAGTTGAGTTCACACTAAAGGTTACACAAAGCGCACTAGGAGTGCACTAGATGTGCACTTCAAAGTGCACTAATAGTGCATTACTAGTGCACTTCATAAGTGCACTTTGTAGTGCACCAGACCTATTATATGTATTAAGCAGTTACCTTTTATTTCAATGAATAGCAATTTGACTTTTACAAAAAGATAGATAAATATTGATATCTGTATAATAATTTTTCATAATAAATTTGAAGTTGTGAATATTGGATTTTGTAAAATATTAGAACAATTATTTTTCAAAGTCATTAATTTTACTGATTTTGTACTTTAAAACTTAATTGTTAGAATAAATAAATATAAATAATTATAACTTTAATGTTGCTAAGTGCATAAATTATAATATATATATATAAATTAATTATAATCTGGTAATGAAATATGAAACATTGAAATGCTAATTAAACAAAATTCAGTTAGTTTTTTTTGGGTGGGGGGGGGCAAATTATACAAATTATTTATTTTTTTTATCTTAATGAATTGTTGTTTTAGTTAAAGGTAATGATTTTAAACATTAATAGCCTTTAATAAATAAAATAATTAATATGTTTATAACTGGCCTAAATTTTGTCAATTTTATCTCATTTATAATCTCTCTTACCTTCTCAAACTGAGATTTACCTAAGATATAAATCATATATAAATGATATATATCATTCTGAAAACAAATATTTATATATAATGGTGGTATATATGAAATGTGGATTAAGTATTGATATGTTCCTTTGGGACACTTGTATACTTAAACTGACATGGATATTAAGAAAAAGATTAGAAAATCTTTCAATTCCATTTTTTGAGACGACACCAATCTTTTTTTTATGCATTGTAACATAATTATGCAATATGATTATTGTTATGAGTTTATTATATAATGCAAAAATATTTCAGTTTTCTTTTTTCTTTTACTTGTAATGAAATTTATTTGCACCAACATCACAGAGAATACAGAATTTGTTTTGTCAGACATAATCCCCTTCGGACAAAATCCCCTTCGCCTACCCGGACAAAATCCCCTTCATGGGTGGACATAATTCCCTTCATTTTTTTGCAAGGCCGGACAAAATTCCCTTCACTACCCAGG